CCACAGGGCTGCCTCCCCTTCCTAGCATGACTGGCCCAGAGCAGCCAGAACTGCAAAGTGCAGGGCCAGAACTGATGCCAACCCTAGAGTATCACAGTGTGGGAAGACAGCTGTCTGCAGGAGACAGCAAGGCCTCTTGGCTTCACTCAGCAGCCCCCAACAGCAGGAGAAAACCCACCCGCCTTGTGCCCATGCAGGCTTACTTTGCCAATAACGAAGATGTTGGAGAGCCTGGTGGCAAAGCTATTGCCATTGGCATCCTTCACATGAACCACATCAAACGATCCAGGGTGTCTCTCCCGGTTAGTGATCACTCCAATACGGCCCAAGTTGGCACCACCAGTCACCATGCACAGATTACCTGGAGTGAAGGAAGACAGACGCGACAAGCTGGCACAAGGTGCTGTGGTGAACACCTTGCACTTGGGCTCCTTCAAGAGCACCACTGAAGGGCAGGGACAGAGTGACCACCGGAGCACCTGGGGAAACCTATGTGTCCCACAGGAACCCTGGCACACCTCAAGGAACCCAACAGTTGTCTGGCCTCAGGGCCCACACCAAACATTCCCCACCACTTTCTTCGTTGTGACAGCACCAAGGCGGCATTCCTGTACCGCTTGTCCTGGCACTGCTCATGGCTCTGCAACTGAAACCTTCTCCCACAGCAAAGATCAAGGAACCTCTCTACGGCTGCCCAGAGCTCTCCACTCACGGTCCTGTTGAGAGCCAGGCTCAAGCATCCTCTCCACCAGCTCACTGCTTCTACCTGGTACCTGCTTGCTTTTGGAATCGCTCCAAGCCCCTATGCCAAATGCCTCCCACTGCCAGCACAGTGGGAGTGCTAGAATCCCCCCGCTCCACCTTCAGGTGGAGATGCCCCAGGGTAACAACCCCATTCCCAAGGCTGCCAACACTGCCTCTTACACCTTGGAGCAAAGACGTCTGCCATTTGTATTTAGCTTCCATATTGCTCTCCACAGAGGGGAATAGTCATGTTTTGCATGGGACGCAAGACCCACCTGTGTCAAACTTGATGAAATCTGTGATCTTGCCTGTCTCCAGGTCAATCTGGACCGTATCATTCACCTTGATGAGGGGGTCTGGATAGCGGATGGTGCGGGCATCGTGGGTGACCAGATGAGGGATTCCTTTGGTGCCCACGAAGATCTTCCTCACCTTGCACAGCTTGTACTGCAAACAAAACCCAACACCGCTCAGCTGAGGCAGAGTATGGGGCTTCTCTTGTCCACCAGAGAGCCGCCAGCCGCAGCAGACCTCAGACCCCAAGCTAAACACCAAGACACTCCAGGACTTGCAACAGGAGACCAGGCAGCAACTTGCCCAGCTCACTGCAGTGCCTCTCATAGGGCTGGCCACAGGCTAAGCTACATATGCTGCAGGAACAGTTGCCCAGCCTGGGCTTCAGCCTCCCCACAAACACTGGCAGCATCTCCCCAAAAAGCCCATGCCGGGGCAGTTTCCTCATTGTGCCCTGAAGCCCATGGTCACACAGTGCAGGTAGAGCCTGCCTTTCTTCAGGACCCAAGACAGATCTGTATCCCTCCCCTAGTACACCCTGGTTTCCCTCAAGCCTTCCACCCCTGACTCCTTCAGAGCCACTTTGAGACTTAGGAGTCAACACAGAGTGGTAGCCAGAGATAACAATGTATCATGGGGGGACCCATAGGCCCCAGATGCACACCACAACCAGCTCTCCCCTCAGCATAACTGTGTGCCTGCACAGCCTGCCCTTTAGGAAGGACATGCGAAGGAGGGCAGACTCGCAGCTCAGGCATGCCAGAGTGCTTGGGTTACGGAGTGGTTCCCTGACACCCAGGGCCAGTGGGCAGTTCTGTAAACACTTCCATGGTTTTTGCACCACAGTCAGTCCCATGTTTCTGACCGCTGTGAGCTTGAGGAGCCCTACACTAAGGCTCACCACACCACAGCAGAGCCATCCCAACCCCAAAAGCTCCCTGCAAAGGTAACGCAGCCCATGCTAAAAGCGGTCATTTCAAGCACCAGACAAGGCACCTTCAGTCTTCTGGGAGTTGCTCTCATGTCACCAAAAGATTTCCCCCTGCCAAAGGGTTTGCCCCAACCCTGAAGGCCCTGATCTTCTCAAGGGTGGCATGGACTCAGCTCTCAGGGAAGAGAGCCAACAGCAGCCGATGGAATCAGGAGATGCCAAGGAGGAAATACACCCCAGTCAAACCTAACTGGGCCCACGCTTACACCAAGTGGAAGCCTCTCACCTTGGCCTCTTCAGGTGTGATGCGGTGAACAGCAAACCGGCCCTTGGTATCATACACCAAGCGGAAATGCTCACCTGTCTTCTCAATGCTGATGACATCTGATTTCAGAGAGGGAAATAAAACAGCAGTTGTTATCAAGTTACCCAACACTGTAACTCGGCACAGAGCTCGTGTTTAAAAAGAACTAGGGACTGCTGAACGACACTTCAGGCATGAATGACGAGGTCAGTATTGCCTATGGGACCACAGGCTTGCATCTTCTACTACGATACAGTGCAAATTAGCACAAACTGCCAAAGGCTGAAGTCTGAACAGCAATTTATGCATATGCAAGTGGGCAGTTACCAGCTACAGATATTTGGTTATGGTATTAAATGCAGTGGGCAACTCCAACCTAAATAACAACTGCTTATACTTTTTCAACTCCATCGGGAAAGCATCTTGTCCCCCATATCACACCAGCCTCACAAAACATCCCCCCCTAGTGCAGCACAGCTGCCTGAGGTACCTGCCCCAGCCCTCCCCGCTCACCCATAAAGCCTGCAGGGTAGGTGATGTCTGTGCGGACTTTGCCATCTATCTTGATGAATCTCTGCATGCAGATCTTCTTGACCTCGTCTCCTGTCAGGGCATACTTCAGCCTGTTCCGCAGGAAGATGATGAGCGGAAGGCACTCCCTCAGCTTGTGAGGGCCTGTCGATGGACGGGGTGCCTGCAAACAGAAGCTTTCTGCTGGGTGCTCCAGCACAACAGCAGCACGGACTGTCCCCAGGGAAAGAATGCTACCGCCCTAACAGCTCTCACAGCAGCACCGGAGGACAGCTGCGTGGAGCCTGGCTATGAAGCAGGCAGCACTGAGCTGCAATTATCTTGGTATTCACAGCACCCTTCCCGCAAGTCTTGCCACCCTCACAAAACACTGCCCCCAACACAGTACAACCATCTACTGACCCACCCCAGAGAAGGGAAAACACAGCAACAAGCAGGTTAAAAAAGAGCAGTCAACTACCCCCCTGCCGCGCTCCCTGCAAATGGGGGAAACGCGAATCCTGTTCACAAAGCCCCTAAGAGCTGGCACCCCCTTCTCCCCTGCACTGCCCACCCGCTCCAGCTCACGGCCACCCCCGGCACCGCGTCTGAGCAACCCCTCGGTGGGGCTGCGTGGCCGCTGGCGTCCGCAGAGAGCGGGAAGTGCCGCTGCCGCGGACAGCCCAGGCACGGGCCCGGACTCGGCCGCAGCCCCGGCCTCTACTCACGAAGACGCCCGTCAGCTTGTCCAGCATCCAGTGCTTGGGCGCAGCCACGCGCTTCAGGTGCTTCTTGGGGCCGCGGGCCTACGGGAGGGGAGGGGACGCGTTACGGGCCGCCGCCAGGCCCTACTCCCCTCCCCCCCCGACCTCCCTCCCCGG